AGAGAAGGTGTAATTAAAAGAGTTTTTCTCTGACTCCTGCTGGGTTAAATTTATGTTCTACATATTTCCTAAATATTTAGTATCCAAAGCAAATTTCCTATATTAAAAAAGAGTTATATAAAGAAGTACTTAATTCGCTAAAAAGTATGCAATCAAATCGAAAATAATTATTTTTGGAAAATAACCAAAGTTAAAGTCGAAAATTAATATTAATTTATTGTAAATAAAAAATTTCTTGGGGTTTTATATCTTTTGTAAGCATCAGCGTTCGCCTACCTTGTGCAACTGCTAATTTTTCTGTCTATGTTTTGTTGGTTAATCAGTCTTTTTCATTTTATATGTTAGCCATCGCAAAGTTCAACGAATATATCTGTGCAAAGCAAAAAAGAAACAGAGAAGAGTATATAGAAAGAAAGAGAGGGAGAGAGAGAGAGAGGAATAGATTTTCCATTTATTATTTTTGAAATATTTTATATGACTGGCCAACAATACTGAATATGAAAAAACTAAAGATTTTTGAGAAGAACTAAATATTTATTTTTTGGTATTCGAATAATTAGTTATTTGAAATTTAATTATTATAAACTATTATTTACATATGATACTGACATAAATGAACTATTAAAAATCTACAAGTTTTTAAGAGCAGCTCAAAGCTGAAAGTAGCTTTCTATAGCCTTAAATAAAACAAAAAAAAAAATAATAAAATTAAGTTTACCAAATTTTCATTGAATCATTGTACTAAAAAAAATCTGCTTTCAAGTTTCATTTACTCTAATTGATTATAGGTTTAAATTGTATTTGTCAAAAATGGACCGAAAAGTGGTTGCACAAGTCCTATGCTTTCAAATAAAGATTAACTATTTTAAATTATTAACAATTTGTGTACGAACTATGTTTTATATTCTAATCAGGAAATGTATGCTGTTTATTATTTATTAAAAATCAATAAAGCGTTAATAGAAAAGCACTGACGGGTTCTTTATTTTTTTAATAATTCATTATTTTAGTTTCACTTACCGGGCTGTAGTTCAATGGTGCCCGACTCACAGCAATCGGAAATCCAGAAGGCTGTGGACTGGTTGCCTGTACATAGCCGACGTTGTCGGCTGCATTCGAGCTGTACATATCAATGGTAGGCCCAGGGGAGTTGGTTGAAGGAAACCCCTGACGGGTGGTGGTAGTATGAGGGGATGCGGATGGTCCAAAGCTATGGGCTGCTGCAGCTGCTGCTTGATAGTTGTTCATCACTGAAAATAAAGAAGTTACAAAAGAAGTGAATTTTTCGTTTTACGTCTTTATGGTAAGCATAAATGTGTGAATGAAATTATTGATAAACCGGTCTTCCAAATATTACAAAAAAAAACTATCAACCATTACTATTTACTGTTTTTTAGAAAAGAGCAAAGCAAAATAAATTCAAAGATTTTTAGATCAAAAGTAAAACAAATAAATATCTGTGAAACATTAACGTTTGTTTTTCTTTTAAAATTAAATTGTTGCATTTTTTGAATTTTTGGGATTTGAGTAGTGCCCTGACCATCGTAGCTGAGTGCTTAGGTGTGCCTACTGCCACTCGAGGTTTGTTTATTAATAGGAACGCACTTTTATTTCGGATTTAAAAAATATTTGGCTAAGGTTAACTGTTATTACTGGACTAAAAAAATAAGAGTCCGGATTTTTCAGTTTTTGTTGGACTTTTTCCTAAAAAGTTAAAGTAATAAAAAGAACTCCAGCATTTTGGTCCAGGAGGTACTGGGATCAAAAATTGATCACTTTCATCTAGAATAATATTTTACCCCGGACTTTTATAACATTGAAAAAAAATAACTTTGATTTTCGGTCTTGCCAAAAAAAAAAACGATCGAAACCGGTTTGGAAATATGAGTTGTTGTTGTTGTTGTAACAGCATGCAAATTCCCCAATGAGTTTTTGGGGATTGTTGCTGGAATGACAGTCCTTGGCCAGATATAACTCTAGGCCGTTCCAGTTTTGATTGCGTCGTGAAAATGGAAAATTACGAAAGGTTATTCATTATTATATTGAATATTCAAAATATGCAATGTATGCATGTGGTTGCAATGTTTCGCTGCATATACCAGTTTAAATTCCGCAGTAGAACGGTATCAAAACATTGTATTGGTACGTTTTGCAATTCACTTCAATTGGGAAATTTAAGTGAACCAAAAAGCTTGAGAAAAATCCCAAAAAAAAAATAGGTATCGTGACTTTGGGTTAAGATTACACCATATAATTGCATTAAACACATACTCGATGATTTTTTAAAATTATCTAGATTTTCGCATTGTAAATAGAGGTAAACAGACATTGTACAAAATATCTCTGAGATATTAAGATTTTTTCCTATTTCGTAGTTGCTAACGAGCCTACCTAACCCAACTTAATCAGAAACCGTACAACGGTAGAGGTTCTACAAAATTAAGTGGTCGGAGAGCGAAGAGAATGAATCGGCGTTGAACTCTTTCGAATCTGTGGGGTTCATGAATTAAATGTAATCCCAAACTATTGTTTCGCACTCCAACTTTGACCTAACCAGGGAGCAGTGTTGCCAGAGAAAGTCCCGTAAAAATCTTAATTTATTCCAAAAAAAATCTTCAAAATAAGATTTTAAAGCTAAAAAAAATCTGGTTTGGAGACAAACCGGTTTCGGCGTTGCGCCATCTTCAGTGTCATTTTTCGAACGATAATATTGTAGGAGATTTCGTATTTCATTTGTCTTCTTCCTTAATTTGCTGCTTACTGCCAGGGAGTTGTCATAGTCAGGCGGAGAGATGTCGACTCCATCGTACTTGCCTGGAGGTTCGAGTTCATTTTATGCTCTGCTTTCAGTGCAGTTACGTCAGAGTAGTTGTTTTTATAAGAATTCGCCCTGATCATGAAACCTGCCGAGCACTTCAAGCTCATACTCACTTACTCCCACTCATTATATCTCAAATATCAGGACTTTAAAAACTAAAATAAAAAACCTATAAAAATATATTTATGTTTTATAGTGTCAAGGGTAAATTCCTTATAATTTTGAATGCTGGATTTGAACTACTTCTGCAGTTGCCAAATATAATTTTTCTTTATTTATGTATCTTACGCGTTGGATATATTTGGAGAATTCCCTAATGTATGACGCTGCACATACAAATGCACACACGATGGATTAAACTGTCCCAGTGTTATTTAAAAATGATTTATAATAAAAATGTGAGTGTTATTAGCGGTTTATGTTTTTAGTGTATGTACCACTTCTTCCACAATGTTTTACGGTGTATTAACCTTAATATTGTAATTTTGTTTTTGAACTCAAACTTACCTGAAAGTGCCTGTGTGAGTAGCGGTGTGTTGTTGTTCGGCGTTAGTTGTCCATTAGTTAGATCCACTATTGGTGCCAATGGAGAAAATGGGAGAGCATGCGACAGATAGAAGACAAGAAAAAAAAGAGTTGAAAATAAGGTGTGTTAGTTGCGATTTTCAAACAACTTCGCTACAACTGAGCTATGAATTGCAAAACTAGTCCAAAAATATTTTGTTATTATTGGGTATTTATTTGAAAGTATTACATACATATATAAGTAGTAAGTAAGTAAGTAAGTACGAGTATGTAAGTTTAAGTAAGTTTACGAGTATAGGTATTTGTCAGAGGAACAAAATCATCTAATCGTTAATCAAAAACGGGTATCCAGATATGTATAAGCAAAAATATAACGAGGAAATATGTATGTGTTTAAGCAAGTTGTTATGATGATTATATGTAAATATTTAACGTTAAACGTTGACAACAGGAACAAGTAAACGCTAATACGTGAATAATTTCTATGAGAGAAATGCAAATGAGCGACCTTCGTTGATGGGGGCACCAATAGTACGAGTATTCAAGTTTTTTGGATGTATGCATTCGACTCTCCGTATAGGAAAACAAGAGTACAATTAGTGGCTACTAACATACATACGTACATACTATGGAAGTCAACATTAACTAATACGAGTACACAATTACATAGTATTATTTAATAAGTTTCATTGACGATATATAAGTAAGTAGTAACCTAGGTAAATACGAATGTGTATATGCAATTATTCGACTTGAGGAAAGTATCGCAAAAAGAAAGAATTGCAAGTTAAAAATCAACTTTTTAATTAACAAAATCAAACGTTCTCAGTAACTGCAGTTCTCATTCACATACATATGTACCTAATTTGTGACAAACATTTCTACGTATTGTATTTGTACGAGTAGTTCAATCACAAAATTTTTAATGATGGTGCTCAAGTTTGCAACTTAAGTACAATGTTGTAAAGACGAAAAGTTGTGAGTATGCATGTGTGTGTACTATGGATGCCAAAATATCAGAAATGTGGTGATACCGGGATTTCGGGAACACTGTATGTATCAGGTGCTTTTGAAAGTAATGATTAATAAAAAAAAAAATTTAACAAAAATGTACAAAAACAATTTCTCTAAACATGTTTATTCTACTCTATAAAGGAATGGCAAACGGCGAATTTTTTGCCATCTTTTTTCACAATTTAATCGAGATTTTGAGAATGTACGAGTCAAACGGATCTCACAATCGGATTCAACGGTTCTAAATATATGTTGGTAGGTGGGTCTGGTAGAAAACACACACCCCTTTATTGTATTGACCTAAAGTTGTTACATACGTAAAAAAATCTGCTGATATTTCGTCATAAGCCAGTTGAAGATAGTGAGCCATATCTCCTCCATTATGGAATGCTTGAACTTCTTTTACCAGAACGTCGGATAAACTATAGCTTTTCCGATTTGAGCCAACTTTCGAGTAGATTGATTTAAAAAATTAAGTAACTTTTTCTTAAAACTCACTGTGTCGTTTACATTAGCGACGCTATGAGTACATTCATTTAAATCTTCTTCAAAAAAGGCTCAGGCTGCAATTTAAAAGTACAGTTTCAAGCTCTTTATTAATTGTAGTCAAGACGGCATTTTACAAAAATTATTCTTCAAAATTCATAAACAAGTTCTTACTACCAATTCGATATTTAAAAATTTACGGGATCCCGGGATTAAGGCAAGCAAAACCCGGGATTTTCGGGACATCAAAAACACCGGGATCTCGGGATTGGCATCCCTTCTGTGTACATATGTATGTTTGAATTCTAATTTCCAAGTTTCTGTGAAATTATGGCTGCGTTTCTTTATACATTCCGGATAATCTCATTTCACAGCCGGAACAAACAGAATACGTTTGAAATATACGTTAGCATATCATCAGGAATATTCTAAAGAATAAGTAAGCAAAAAAGTTTATTCCAAATGTTCAGAATGAATAAAGAAATGCAGCCTATATTATTTATTTGTTTCGGCGTTTCTGTCTTCTTTTACATCTGATGACAGTTACATTCTTAAAAATTTCTTAAATTTGGAAAATATTAATAATATACAGAATACTGCCTTAAGGAATTTTTATACAACACTCGTTTCAAATACAAAAATATTGATGCTGACGAAGTATTATTATTATTATTATTATTTATTAGAGTAATATAAAATATTAAACTAACTTCACCTGACGAAGTAATATCTTCTCCTGTCTCTTTGCGCTGCACTTAACAAATTGTTACTCTATCTAAGGAGTATTACCCTTATTTACTTTCAGCTGTAGACTTCTTTGAATGAAAAACCGAACACACCTATCTTAGAAAATGCATTAGGTATCTTCAGTTTTGTTTAAAAAAATTGGATTGAAATGAAAACTTAAAAGATATACATACATATGTATATATACTAAAGAAGTAAAAATAATCACTCACGCTCATACACCGTAGGTGCGTACATATGTAACGTATACGTCCCGTAGCACCATACGCAGTCATCTAAACGTAATTCGCACGCCATAATTTAAATGTCATATTATTTAGAAGTAACTAAATATTGTCGTGGAAGATTTTTACACAGTATTCTTCATGGACATATATATTACTTTCTTCATGTACAATATATAAAAAAATTTAGAATGAATTTCGAGTGTACCAATAAAAATTGTAAAAATGAAGTTCTAGTTTCCAAAATCACAGTCATTTTTTACTCAGTCAATTTTTTTTTTCATATGGTGACACACTAGTTTTATTACATTTCGTTTGTTCGTTTTGGCAAGAAGAGCATTTACGCTGTTTAATTTTAACATTTTAAAGTAACTTTCAATTCAAAAATTACAAAATAAAAGTTTAAAAAATTACAAAACAGCTGGGACAGATATTCTGCATGCTACCTTTTTTTTTAAATTTCGTTGTACACTCTTGAAACTTCACAAATGTGTTGCATTTGATGCCAACACTCATTTCCTCTAATGCGTACATTCTATTTGAAAACTTCCCTAAGTTAATAAAAAAAAAACACAATTGTAATTTTTTCGAGTGACAATGAAGAAAAGATCAATTTCGATACTTTGTCGCCTAAATAAACTGTTTAAGGATGAAATTGTTCATTTAGAAGATTTATTTTTTTATTGTACTTGTTTCTGAAACTCCATTGATTGAAATAAACGCAAGAAGAATGCTTTTGTGTTTTTTTCTGCCGAGATAAGGGAGTGACACCTAAAAAACAACTCTGAGATTTGCTCATATGTGACCTGGTCTACGGAAAGGGGGCTTAGGTGTCAAAAAATCAATTTTCACTTTTTGGTTGATTCGGATGGAAGATGAGATGCTTTTTCACGTGGTGAAAAGCAGAAAATCCTAACTTGCTTAGAAGTGTACTAAAAATGTAGAGAAAGAAGAGTAAAAACGAGTAAACGAAACGAGTTGCTTACTTTTAACAGCTTTTTCACAGAAAACTAGTTTTCGCACGTAAGCTCCCTTTTCGTAGACCAGGTCACATATACATAAGTATGTATGTAGAGACCTTTTGAGGTCGAAGCCGATATGAATTTTATTCTACATTTTAATGGGCACAAAAAGCGTTGCATATACAAAGGCGCTTGTATGACCAAAACATATTTAAGAACCATCGTTAAAATATATTTCAGAAAAGCAATAAGTACAACTTAATTTTTTCAAAAATTAGGCATATACATATATTTTATTTTTATTTTTATCTTATGTTGTAATTTCGCATAAAATATCCTTTTTGCACATTAAGCACTGTGACTCACCACCACTTTCCTTACACAAATAATTTAGCTCCTGTAACTTTTGTTTTCCTTTGTTTGAAGCCATTTTATATATGTATGCATGTTTCTACTTATTGTAAGATTTTGGACTCGAATTTCACCATCACTTCACAATAAAAATAAAACAACAATGAAATCTTCTAAATAAAATTTTTTCTCAACGCGTACTATACTAAATCTAATATCAGTGGCTAAATAAAGCGTATTTAATATTTTATGTATTAACTTACATACATTCGCGTATAGCCCCATGAATTATTTGGCAGAAGAAACAACTTTTGCGCCTAGGGGTATGCAATGCCCATTATTGGTGCCAGTATGTTGCCCATTCGAACAAAATGCCCGTACGGGCACAGATGCGCATCTCTAATCTAAATCATAGTTATTTTCAATAAATACCAATATTGTTTGTTGGACGTGTAACCTTTTTACGAAACATATTACGCTGTACTACTTTCCTGATTTTATGTCTGAGGTCGAAATCGGGGATGTCGGAAAAACATCGATACATCTAAAATATCGATGTTTCGCTTTGAGGCATCGAAAATTTTCCACTCGATGTATAAATAGGGATGCGCCGATGTTTTTTGAAACCTGGAATCTCTAGTACATTGAACCGCACATTTCACTTTTTCAATTGTGCAAAAAAGAAAGTGAATTTAACCAAAAAATTGAAATCGCTCCAATAAGTTCCGTTAGAAACATAATTAGCTCAAATACAGTAATTAATCGGAAATTTTGTACAATTTTGCTAGTAACATATTTTGTTGCGAAATAATAGCATACCAGGATAATTTTGTTGTTGTTTCATGTGTTCAATTTAACCAAATATGATATTTATGCTATATATGCACCATGCTAGACAGTATGCAACGGATCGTGAGTACCCCTAATATCTGAAAAATCCTATGCAAATCGATGCATACCGTTCGATGTATCGAAAAATATCGATGTACAATTCGATGCATTGAATCAAAGAAATACATCGGGGTATTTTTGCCACCAACATCCCTAGTAAAAATTTTTGTAGGTAATTGTTTTTGGCTTAATGCCACGTGCAATATGGCATGCCTGGCCAAAGTTTTTCGATATCTGTATAATTTGAAAAGCTAAGGTATTACAGCATTCTTTTATTTATCCTAAGGCATAGATTTTAATTAAGTGCTCTTAAATATGGACATGAAAAAAAATTTTTGGTAAAACACTTGTCGTAGCTGTTTTGGTCGCTATG